CAACCTGAAACTCCCAATGTTTATTGAAGAACGTCAGTAGTTTGTCAGGCAGGAAGCCCTCTCGTAAATCCATGCTGAGATTCATTTATCAAGTTTGCCTTCAAGGGACTTTGATAATGTCAGCTTAAATTGAGGGGAAAAAGTCGTTAACGAAAATTTTACCGCCCAATAACCCTGACCCAATTGTAGGCAAATTTTAAGAGTAAATTTATAGCTGATTTAAGAAGCCATCCGATAAGCAAGCTTGATTAATGATATCGCATGGATTACAAGGGGCCCGGTTTTGTCTAACTAATTTATTAATTTTCTTCGTAAAGCTTTTGAGGCTGTTGACCATGATAAAGAATTTGATATTATTTATTTAGATTTTAGTAAGGCATTTGAAGAGTTCCGCACAAAGACTGTTGAAAAAAGTGCAGCTCAGGGCAGGGGGGAAAAGTGCTCTCGTGGATCGAGTCTGGCTCACAGACGGGAAGCAGAGGTGTCCATAAAGGGGGTTAAATCCAGTGGGGATCGTTACAAGGGGGCTTTCCACAGGGATCAGTCTTGGGGCCCGTTTTTGTTTTATATATTAAATGATTTTGTAAAGGGAAATTATGTGAATAGAAATTCGCTGATGACACAAAAAAGGTAGGATAATTGATTTCAAACGTAGAGTTAGGGAACTTCAGGAGGATTTAGACAAACTTTATCTTGGTCAGAAAAGTGGCGATGGTTAAATGAGATAAATGCAAGGTTCTAAAGTCGGGAGGCCCATAACCCTAGCACTTTAAGTTAAAAAATGTAGAACTTACCCATACAGATTGCGAAAAGGACTTGGGGGTTATGGAAAAGCAGCAACCTTAAACCAAGACAGAAAATCCCCTAAGCGTACGTAATAAGGCAAATAGATTATGGGATTTATATCAAAAAGTGAAAGAACAAAAGCCCGAGGTCTTACTGCAGCTTTATACTCATTAGTAAGGGCCCCACCTAGATTACGAGCTCAATTCGGGCTCCCAAATTCAGAATGGACATAAATTCGTTAGAAAAATTCAGCGTAGGGTGACTAATTTTAAAACAAGCATTTGAATCTTCTTTTGAAGAAAGATTTAAGACTCTTAATTAATTACTTGTTAACGAAGGGGAAGAGGGGAGACCTGATCGAAGGTATAAGTGGAAGAAGGTATTAATAAAAGGGGGGATTAAAGGTCTTGAGGATATCTCTCCAAGAGAGAACCCCCAGTATGGATTTAAATTGATAAGTTTAGATTTAGAAAAGGGCATAGGAAATATTGGTTTTGGGAAAAAGGGTAGTTGATGATAGCATCTACCCAGTTGGGTTTTTTGAGGCTAGGGCTTTGGGGGTTTTTTAAATTTAGTTGGTAATACAGAGTGGGGGGGTTGGGGTTTTTTAGAGGGGTTGCACATCGGGATGTTTTTTGGGTGGCTTGAAAAAAGGGTTGGGCAAAAGTTTGTTGTGGGAAAGAATTGTAAAGGACCTGCCAGTATGGGGGCCAACAGGCTTTGCAGTGTTCCTCTTTTCTTATGTTCTTATGTTCTTATTGATTCAATAACTTGCCCAATAATGTCAGGCTTATTGGACGGTAATTTGAAGGAGGGACTTACCCCCTGATTTGAATTAGGAACCCATTGCCTTTTCCACATCTCTGGCACAACACTGGTAAGGATGGAGCATTGAATCACTCGTTAAGGCTGACTAAGCTCCATCTTGCATTCCTTAAGTCCCCTTGAAAAAACTCATCGGGCCCCGGGGATTTATTTTTTTCAGTTTGTCTTCTGTTTAAAAAACCTGTCCCCTGACAGTTTTTTATTTAAACTTAAATTCATCAGGAACTAATAATTGTTAATTAGGGAATCTCATTTAATCTTCCTGTGAAAAACTGAAAAAAAATTATCATTAAAAAAGGGAAAACACTTTTTCCGTTAATCCGTAGCTGTCCTTCCCAGATTTCAGAGGGCCACTTTTTCCTTCACCTTCGTCCTATACACTTGAAAGAACCCCCTTTGGGTTATCTTTTATTCATTAGCGACTCTTTTTTTCTAGTCACGTTTTGCCCTTTTTAATCGCCTTTTTTTCTTTTCTTTTTAAGCTGAAAATATTGGTCGTAAGGTTTAAACCCCTCCTTTCTGATGCGCCCATAAATTTCCCCTTTTCTCCCCAAAAAGATGCTTTAAAACCCCCTGTAACCCTTTGGGATCGTTATTATTAGCCTAATTTCTTTTGGGGGAAAGTATATACTTGGGGACTGGTACATTTTTAAGAAAAAAATCTAAAAGCAGATCCCTTTTAATTCATAAGTATGATTTTTGTCAAAAAAAATCATTTGCTAATAACCCCCAAACAAAATTAGCGTGTTCCCCAAGTCCATTATAATCGGGGAAAAAAGAAAAACGGGGATTTTTTACTGTATTACTTATTCTTGCATTTCCCCAATTTAAAGCTAAATGATGGGTTTTGTGATCACTTGCGCCAAGCTCTTTTAGTGATTCCAGATTATTCACTAGGTTTCCTTTTTTGACAAGACAAGCTAGCAAATTATTACCCCCGGGAGGTTCAGTTACACTCTGTTCGAAAACAGTCCTGAAAATGTTTCCATGAAGTCATGGGCTCTAGATTACCCTTTAAAAAAAAAATTTCCCGTCAATTTGGCTAAAGTTAAAAACCCCCCTATGACACGTTCTGTGTCCCGAAGCCCCCAACAATTTCGCCAAAGAAGTTTTCCCTCTTCGTGTCCAAGCCCGGGGTCGGGATATTACACCAAATTTTTTTTCTTGACCCTCCACGAACTCTACCCAAAAGACCTGTTTTCTGCCCCATTTTTTTTAAACCTTTTTTTATGCAACAATTAATTTTTTCTCGAACATACAATGCAACTCCTCCCCCCTTCCCATTACATCTATCCACATTGAATAACTTAAATCCCCTGAATATTACACTCAGCAGTCATATCCCGACTCTTTAAATCAATACCACGTTTCAGTTAATGCAATGATATCAAAGTTCCCAGCACATGCTACCAAACGTAGTTCATTAATTTTATTTCTTGCACTTCGACTGTTAGCATAAAATACCATCATATGTTTTTTCTTCTGCACATTTTTCATATTCATCTTTGTTTTTACACAATTTCTGAAATTATCATTACCCAGAGTTACTCCATGACAGTTACTATAAAGATTCTTAATATCAGAGCATAAGTCAATATATCCATACTCATTATTAATCATTTCTAAACCCATACCTCTAACTAATCCTAGTTTAAAGTCCTAACAACCCCCTCAACTGAGTTAGCAAGAAAACCCACACTTGCCCTGGATAAGTGAACCCCATCCCTGGCATACATGTCATTTCGGCCATAGAATGGCAATATAAACACAAATGCAGTATAATGTGATCCTTTATTGACTACGTTTCGCCCACACAGTGGGCTTTTTCAAGTCACAAACAGAACTACCTGGGGTGGAAGGAACGCGAGTATTTATAGTCCGGCTGAGGCCAAACATGTTTCCAACATCTTTGCCAAAACATCATTCCAAGTATCTACCTCCACAACCACGACCATCAAGGACATCACCAGTAGTAGGCAGGACAAGCCTCCATCCTCTGCAGGGGTATACATAATCCCTTGTAATGACTGCAACAAGTTATACGTGGGCGAAACATCAAGGGACCTCCAAACACGTATTTCAGAACACCAATACGCAAGCAGGTCTGACGACACAAGGAATGCCTGCGTACAACACCGTAATTCACACAACCACTTGATAAACTACAGAAACTCAAGACTTATCGCCACAGAAGACAACACCCAATACCGAAGAATCCTGGAATCATCACTTATTTCTATATCCGACAACTTCACCAGAATAGTGGCTTCTATAACATAGCTGAACCACTTGCCAAGAAACTTCTTCATCGCTATCCCACATAAGAACACTGTAGAAGGTCTGCTCACAAACTTGTCCAGTCTCCTTTCCAAGCTACCCAAGTTTTTAGACTCTACAACCCAACTCGGTACATCATCAGATGCAGCATTCTTCACCTGACCTCAGCCGGACTATAAATACTCGCGTTCCTTCCACCCCAGGTAGTTCTGTTTGTGACTTGAAAAAGCC